CGTAACAGTTGTCAGCCCGCTGAGCTAGTTTGACACCTGTAAGCTCCGTTGCTACGGTTTTCAGCCAATTTCCGTCGCCACAGCTCATATTACACAGCCAAGCGCAAACTAAAAGTGACAACTGACTCGACCAGAGTTTTATAAAGTGGCATCATCAACTTAACACACAAACCTAAAAGCAGTTTCACCTCCTCCAGAGGAAAAAACCCCGGCATCTGTCAGTTCAAGACAACACTGTTTGCATCATCACCATTGGTGGCTTTTGGAGTTGTGTTAGTTTGAATAAGGTAATTCATCTGCACGCTTACCGCTGCAAACTTCACATCAACTTCCAAAAAATGATTCAGATGACATTTCACACAAGATTGACAGCTGAGAAATACAGCAAAGAGATTTTCCGGTGGTCTGTGATTGACAAATCACATTTTTTTTACACATTGCATCCTCACATTATGGAGTTTTTCAAGACGCAATTTACTTGAAACAAAAAGTGTCTTGTGCTTGTGTGTGAGGGTTGCTTTAGCTTGTGGTTAGGCACCCACTCGTGCCTTTAGTTTACACTCAGCCGTGCATGCAGTGTTGCACGCAGTGAACACATCTTCATGCTGTTAAATTGAGCCCGGCGGTGCGTGACAGGCAGTATGTTGAATGTCACACTGAAGGAGGTGCCCCAAAGTTTAATATGGACAGGTAATTATGGAGCGAATTAATTAATTCCTGCTCGAGTCCAAGCATCACTCTTTTGTCTGCTTATCATTTACGTCTGTGTGTGCACCTGATGCATGTTGCTCCTGCCAGGTTAGTTAATAAGCTCTGCAATGAAAGGGGACAGTATTCCGTTGCCGTGGCAATGAGGAAGCGGAGCGCCGGCGCGCAAGACAAAACGTAACTGTATTAGAGCACCGTATTTGGAAGCAATCGGCGCACAGGGATGCGTTTGCGTTGAGGCGGGCAGAGACTGATGGGCGGACAGTTAGATGGATGGACAGAAAGAAAAGAAGCAAGTGATGCAAAAGACAGATGCGAGAGACAAGCGGACAGAAGCAGTGCAGAACACCTTTTGTATCAAAATAAGTGTGTGTGTGTGTGTGTGTGTGAGAGAGACAAAGAGCGCGAGAGAGAGAGAGAGAGAGTGATGAATGGTCTTGTCTGTACTGCCAGCAGTGTACAAGGAGGAGGGGAGGGAGGGGAGGTGAGGAGAGACACACGTATGGGGTGATGTGATCGATTTGACTGGGCCCGTGTCCCCTGCAGAGGGAGGGAGTCACATAGATGGATGGAAACAGAGATGTAGCAATGGAAGGGTTGTCCTGACAGACAGATAGATCAAGCCGGAGGAATGCAGAGAGGCGACAGGCGGATTGAGTGAGACGATAAGGAGTGATGGGACAGACGAGGGGAGACTAATACAGAGGTGGATGTCGAAATAATGAGTGAGGAAGGCTGCGGCCGGGTTGAAGAAGAGCGATCTACCCAGAACTCTCCAGTTTAACGTTTATGCTTGTAAGCGCAATAAAAGATCCCGAGGGCACAGACGATGTTATCAGCACACTCAGTGCTGTGGTAAAGTGTAGGAGCGACTCTCGAACAATTCAGGGAGCCCGTTCTTGACCATTTGATGTTCAGGGCAGTCAGAGTCACATTTCATGGCTCAGATGGGTTTGCAGTAAAAGGAGGAAAGAGCATTTAGGTGTAAACACTCGCACGAAAGGGACAGAAGAGAGGAACATTTTCCTTCCTTCCTCAGATATGTATGATAACACAACGTTTATTGGCTGCCAGTTAGACATACATCAAAGGCACTAATCCTTTATACGGGGTCGGGGAGGAGAGTCGAAGCCAGCATCGGGCGAGAGACTGGCTACGCGCTGGATACGTCGCAGTCAATCACAGGGTTCACACAGCAACTAACAACCAGTCACACACCTACGACCAGTTCAGAGTCACCAGTCAACCTAATCCCTAAAGCAGGTCTTTGGACTGTGGGAGGAAGAACCCAGACAGAACCCACACAGACACGAGGGGAACATCTTAGTGCAAATACATCCCTGTTTCGGTTTCATAATTCTATCAACAAAACACTGCCATGTTTATTCTGAGACAACAGGGCATAATCTGGTGATGAAATAAATTACTGGATTATCATAAATTGACAAATCTAACAACAATTACAATAATTAATTTATTGTGCAAATTTTATTTAACCTTTATTTAACCAGGTAAAAGTCCCATTGAGATCGAGATCTCATTTTCAAGGGCGACCTGGCCAAGAAGGCAGCAGCACACGTCGTTAAAAAACAGCCATAAAATACATATACATGACATGAGTAAAACCACAATACAAATTAAGTTAAAAACTAAAATACAAAGAAAAAATGGTCAAAAGCAGAGGCACCGTTCAATAGATTCTTGTTGTCTGTCCATTCGGAGACGTCGGAAAACATTAAAAAGATACAAGTTGAGACAATTTTACTTCAGCCCGGAGATTGTTCCATGTTGATGGGGCGGCAAAACTGAATGCTTTTTCCCCCCCAATTCAGTCCGCACTCGTGGAATGTACAAGCAGTAAATGTCGCTGGACCTTAAAGCGTACCGGTTTTCTGCTCCACGGAGGAGTGAACATAGATAAGACGGGACCATACCGAGGAGAGCCTTGTAGATCAAGGATAACCAGTGAGTTTCTCTCCGAGTGCTCAAAGATGGTCACCTAGACGTCATATAAAGCTGACCGTGATGTTTGAGGCGACCACAGCCAGTGAAAAACCTCAGGGCACTGTGATATACAATGTCCAGAGCTGCCAGGCTTTTGGACGAAGCACATATATACAGCACATCTTATCCATCATTAATGAGAGTCAAAATACCTAAAGTATTGCTTTCCAGCAGATTTGCTGCTTCACATATTGTAAATTAAATGTCAGAACTGTTGTTTGGACATGAAGCTTCTGAAGCCCCCGTGATTGGCATTTGACATTATTATAACATTTTATGGGCTACATTAATCAATTAAACCAAATACCGATTGACAAAAGGTCAATGGAAATACTTGTTAGTGACAAATAAGTGTTCCTGGTTACTTCAACTCATTTTTAACGGCACCAAAATAAAAAAAGAATCATCATCAGAAGAAGTTATAAAGTTATGCAAATCAAGACTTTTAATGGGAAATAAGAATGTATATCTGAGACTCATAAGGCCATAAGTTGGTGATTAATTCCGGACTGTGTACACATTGCACACCTCCTAAGACCGTTAACCTGAATAGAAGTGCATCTGTGGAGGAGTCTTAACTAAATACACGGCTGCCGCGTGAAATATTCAGCACGTATCTTGCTGTGCTGCGTAAGCGAACACGACTCTGATCAGGCAGACTCTAAGGCGGCATTCCGAGGAATAAAGTCTAAATTTTACACGAATAAATTCAACATTTTTAAGCCGCTGGGGTCAAATCAAAGTGAACTACAGGGCCAAAGTCTAACACATATACATTCCACTCCCATAAGCTCGCTGGCGTGTGCATTTCTATGCGCGGAGCTTCAGGGAATGTGTGTCAGTGTGCGTTAGTGAGGGTGTGCACCAATTCTGCATGCGCTGTAGTGGTGAGTTTGCGCGCGTTTACATGTTTAGCATTGTAGTAACTGTGTATTTGTCTCGTCTTGAAATGTGAGAAATATTCATTTGGCTGCGTTCCTCATTTTACAACTATCCACACGGATTCCTTATTTCATATCATTTCAACAAAATATCCTCTTTGAGAAGTTCACATTTAAATATGTAGGACAGTGTGGGTGATTTTCTTTTTCTTTTTGAACAATGAGCTCAATCATCATCATCTCGGTGCACTTTACTTCTTCTGTGGGATGTGTGGGCATTGCTCGTAAGTCGTGTCCCACCATCAATCCACTCTGCCAGCCCCCAGTGCCGTTACCCTGATGGGATTTAGGAATAACAGAAGAGGAAGTGATTCGTGCCAATAGCCGTCATTAATTTAGTCAGTTTCTCTGCACAATATGCCAAAGAATTGCAGCGATTCAGTGCTTCTCCCCCCCTCCCCCCCAGCGTTACGTTCGTGCCAGAGTGGATCCAGACAATCAGCGTCGCGTCCACCAAAACCGAGAACAATTTTGGCGCAGCCATTTTCAACAACAAGTTATTGATGACAACCACAGGCTAGCTTACAGCTCGAGCTTTCCACTTCTTCACACCAAAAAAAGCTCGACTTCAACACTCCCAGAATCTTGTGTGTGTGTGGGGGGGGGGGGGGGGCTGCTCTGCTAACGCCGCTCACGCTGCGTCTCCCGTGCAGACGAGGTGTAACAGGAAGGTGAAGTCCTTTCCTCACCTTCATTGTTACACTGCGTTGCACCATCACGATGGAGGTCGATTATTCATCATGGGCTTTTGTTATTTTTCCTCTTGTGCTGCACTTCAGATTCACAAAGTAAGCTTAACCTCAGATGTATCAGCAGTACAAAAGGAAATTACATTTTTTATTTTTTTTTTAAACAAAACCGTACCTCTGGAGCTGCGGGTGCAGCCACAGTGCAGAATGTAAGATGCACATCCTCTTTACTGTGCATTTTATGGAGTGGCTACTTATGCAGATGCTGACTTCCACTTACACAAGGTTATTTATGTTAAGTTAGCTCCTTACTGTCTGTGTTTAAAAAAAAAAAAAGCTTTTAATTATGCATATGATCCATGGAGTCTTTTCTCCTCGGGAACAGCAGTGTTCCTCATCAAAAGAAATGAAACAGCTGAACTGCAAACACTGGCCTTTGAAGCAGCCTTTTGTAACACAGCAGCGTCTGCTGGATTTAACATGAAGGACAAACTTGGGCTCCACTACTGATTTCTCCACTGGATTCTAGAGGCGACCATGTTGGAAAACATTACAGCACAGTAGGAGAAATTATTCCCATTTGAGAAGTTTGTTTTCTAGGTCCCGCTTTTCTGAATGAGCGAGGCCTTGAGTTTAGGACTCCTACAGTCCCGCTTACCTGGGGAGGGCGGGTCCTGAGTTTGAGTGCTTTAGGGCTTGCAGTCCTCTCTCCTCGCATCCTTTGTGGTTCATGGAGGGCAAAAAGGAGAGAAGGAGGGAAATTGGTAAATGGAATGAAATGTCTCTGCAGTATTTGTGGCAGCTTGCGTCGCTTCAGCTGCAGCGCAGATGTAGCTTGTTTAGTTCATTAATGTCAGTTCCACCATTTGGGTGCCCATGGATGAGGAAATTAATGTAATAAAAAAAAACACCTGCCAACACTCAGAGGAGGAGGAAGATCTGACAAAAAACGAGGAAATTGTGTCTTAAATGAATTACAGCGTAGAAATCTCTTCAGTTTAACATTGTTGATGCAATCTGATTCAATAAATACAGACTTCTATCCCACTAACTGTTAACTCTAACAAATTGTTTAAATAGGGACCATTTCCTTCTTACGCTAAGACAGGCTAATTAAGCTTTCTTAAGTAGTTCAAAAGGTACCAATCTATTTCCTACAGTGTGCCAGTACATTGGTTTGTTGAAATGAGTCATGTAAACACTCCTTGTAGTGTACCGAGAGAAACTAAAATTACACAAACAATATAGGATTAGGATTTTGGTTTAAAAAGTACAAAGACACTGCACATGAACTCTGTCTCACGTACAGTATGCTGAGTTCACCACAGGCCAACGCAAGGTGTTTAACAGCAAGTACAGAGTGTGTGGGAGGCTCGGCATTGTTGCGGCGGACTTGAGGGCAGTAAATAAGCGGTAGGTGGGGACACACACACACACACACACACACAGGCTGATGTGTAATCTTCTGAATAGCTGAAGCGACACATGGTCACTGTTGCTCTAATACATTTTGCTCTCCGTTTGTCATCCTGTCCCCTCCTTCTGTTATCCTTGTCTCTCTGCTGGTTTTTAAATCACTTTCCATTTGTCTCGTCTTCCTGCTGCTGCTCCAGCAAGTGTTACTTTACAGAAGAACACAACAAGCACCTTGACATGAGCGGTGATGCGTCAGCTGTGTGGTTCAATTATTCAAATGTGGAAGAAGGAGTGATGACAACATTACAAAACAGAGTAATGTCGTTTTCAGGACTACGTTTGCTTGCAGTAATTTTCCCCAGTAGAGGAGCAATATGAGAGACTTGTGCAACGGAGGCGTTCTCCTAAATCGCAAATTTATCAACAGCAAAACACAGTGGCCATTGTATGATCTTAAAATGCTTCAAATTTCAGATGAGGCAACGTGACACCGCATCAAAACAGCCGAATGGCCACATTAGCACACGTTTTAACGTTACCACGGCCCCAAAACACGTTCATCGCAGGATCTCCTGACGACTGGCGTGGATAAGAATGATGCAATTGTGTGGAGCAGGGAAGACAGAATTTATAAATCAGTCATCTGCTCTGTAAAGTAAAAAATACACAGACTCTGGACTCCAAGGACGCGTTGGTGCCGTTTGGTGTTGCGCTCTGTTGTGCAGTGTTTGTTCTGCCCCTCTCTAAGGACCAAGCAGACATGGATTGATATTCGCCTCGTGCTACGGAGGATCTCTGAAACCTGCCATGGAATTCACAGATTGGAATCAGACTGGATCCAATACTCTCCGAGGCTATGACTTCACATTTATTAACCATCACCCAATCAGCCCCAGAGAAATACCTAATCAAATCAACGAATGGAGCAGGCATGACTGTTGGACTCAAACAGCTACCCCACTGGAAGAAACACCTTAATGAAGAATAGGCTGGTTTTAGCAATTAAAGCAGGTTTGATTTGGACATTTGGGTTTAATTTATCATTCTCTGTGCTTATAAAGTTTGCGATTTGTATTGCTTTATCATAGCAACCTTGTTGCAACCTCGTTGTTAGAGTACATTCTCTTAATGAAAATTCATATGCAAAGGACAACAGAGAAACAAAAGGAAAGAATATGGTGCTTCTGTCTGTTCGGCCGCTCCGTTAGGTCAGTGCATCCTCTTCTACTGTATGAGTCTCTCATTTGCTATGCAGGAATACTGATGCATTCAGTGTGGACCACAAAGTGTAAAACCCATCACACAAACAGAGAAAACCAGCAGAAGGAGTGCACATGGTAATTACAAAAGACTGGAAGCGGCGATGCCGCTCCAGAGCCCCAACAAATGATTAGTCGGTTATTGACTTCAGTCATTAACTCGTTTACCACGAGGGGCCAAGAACTGCGTTGTCTGCAGACAGCCCAGAAGCAAGAGAAGAAATCCGCTTGGGTAATGCCGGTTGCCAGTGTAACCTATGAGCTTGTAAAAAGACGGACGGATGTTTAGTCGGTGCAGACTTGCTCTACATATTTGGATTTTGCAGGTATGCAAATCACCATTCCTCTGAAAATAAAAATGTTCACTTTTGCTTCACTGCCGGTCCATTATGCAGGCAGTCAGTCAAGTGACCCTTAACAACACGTACAGTACACTAAATGACATGCACATGCTTCTCCCTTAGCACGCATTTGTATTACGAACATACGTATTAAAAATGGGACATTCCGTGCAATGATCACTGTGAAGTAACCGATGCACAGAAATAGAATCCATGACCTTTTAGCAGAAAGAGTGCATACCTAAATTATAATAGAATACATATCAACCCCAGCATTATCCTGACGGGTTGGTTGTTGTCGTTTTTTAACCAAATCTCTAGCATTGACAAGAAAAGCACAGCAAACTCCAGTGGCCTGCAGAGCCACAGCTCACCTGAAAAAAAACAGTTCAGAATATTTGTTTGAATCCTTTCAGCCCTTTCTTTCTGATCGGAGCCCACTAGGGGCGTCTTTATGTTGAGTTCCCAAGTGCCATCGCATTACCATGACAGCGCATCCCCTCGGTAGAGAGACTATGTGCAAAGCAAACTCTTTTGATAAAATGAAGTCTATTTCACAGGTGGAAAGGGCTCAAATTCATTCCTCTAGGGAGAAAAGAATGACTGCCATTCCAGAGCTGCTTTATGTGCTTAGTATTGCCAGCAAATTCCTGGAAAATTTCACAAGCAAGGGAATGACCCAATATATAAATTGGATATTTATCTTCCCTGCAAAGAAAAATAAGTGTTTAATCTTCCCAATATCCAATTAGGAATTATGTCTGAATGTTTCTGCAGCCCCTCACGCTGTCCGGCCTGAAGGGGCTTTATTCGTCAGACAGGGAAGGGAGACAAGCCTCCAGCTTCAACTGTGTCTTCAACTGTGTCACACACACACACACAATTTAACTATCTATTAATGTGTATTTTTTAAATGTAAAATCAAATACCTGGTCAAGAGAAGCTAATCACAAAATAGCAATGTGTTCGGGACAGTACCACATGGAGAATTTCCAGAAATTGTTGTTTGACTAAATATAGATATATATATATATATATATTTTACAAATATCTGGATGCACTGATATTATTTAAGCTGTGAAGTTTAAAAATACTTTTTGAAAGACAGCAGATAGCTCAGATCAGATAGCAACTTGAGACTTGTTTAAGCAGACAAACTTATTATACTTTATTAATTTACTTTTTGAATGCCTTCATCAATTTTTAAAATTAGCTCAGTAGGTGGGACGTCACGGCCGTTAGCGTGTGCTAAAATATTGATACACCGTAAATGGACAATTCATACCGCTCAACCAAACATGTAACCAAACAACAAATAGCTTTTCCTTTTCAACAACCGGGTCTTCGGTGCTGAACGATGGGTACCTGTCGCACAGAAAACACAACCTATGTCTGTCCCAGTCTCTCTCAATCATACCAAAAAACACTCACGGTTTACAGCCCGCCACCTGAGCAGGTACCTGCCGCTTTCCCCGATGCAGTAGTCATATTCTTTAACTTACCAAGTCCACTTAGTGCCAAAGTCCGTGATGTATCGCCCAGATACATCAAGTCATATTTCCGAACAGACAACCTACTTTAACGCTGTAACTTAAATGGCAAACAGGACCAGAAGATGCCTTCGACTTAAGAGGAATGAATTAAACTGAGAATCACTAATTAAGATTGACTGCACACGCAGCACAGTGCAATAACAACACGCCGACTACATGACCACATTACCATGCACAGCACACTGGGCTCATCAACTAATTAATGACAACCAATTAGAAAACAAAACCGTCATGCAGAACGAGGATCAGGTAAACATACGGATTAGAACTTGCTTCGCAGGCAGCGAACATTACACTGAGAGACGAGGTGTCTGTGCATCATGGTCACTCGTGCACAGAAAACACAAGAGGAACGAGTTCTGCCGCCAATGTGCCATCTACACTGACTCCAACTGACCCCGACACTGACCCCAACTGACCCCTACACTGACCCCAACACTCCCTGCGAGAATACAAGCACAGCAGAGACCGGACACATGGTAATAATAGTGCTCTCTCTCGCTCCCCCCATGGGAGGCTTTAGGTCCTGCAGGATGCAGGGGTGGGGTGTGTGACTTCTCATAAGCCCTGCAAAGATGACTAGTGCAGCAGCAAGCACGGATAATGTGTTTTTTCCATTTCTTTACGTCACGCTCCATCCCTTCAGTAGGCCTACACACCATAAACGTATCAGTGCGCACGAGGCAACTGCGTTAACGGGGTCAAAGTAGGTCGTGCAGAAAACACACAGAATGTATAATTAATTTAGGCGCTCGCGCGCACTCTACAACCCCCCCGTCTGGGACAACATTACAGAACGAAACAACTACTACAAAGTATTGGAAGGTTTGCACAAGTGCAAGAGACCACCATGAAACCACCCAGTGACGACATGCATGTTGGCATACGCAGCTCTCACCTGCTGGGGCGAACGAGGGGCTTCTGAGCATTGACAAAGTCGCCATTGAACGTCACATTTCATCACATGCGGTTCAGAAAAAAAAGGTGACAGAAATCCAGCGTCGTCTCGAAAAGTTTTCTTTTGACTATTAAAAATGCTCGTAGGCAAGCTAGCGTCCATAACGCGTCAGGGTTCGTGATTGGAGCGCGCGCCGTGCAGCTGTGAGCATAACGGTAACTTTATTTTACGGGTGCGTTCGATGTGTTTCAGACCTCCAGACACGCATGTCACGTGTCTGGTTTCTACGTCAATGCGGCCCGTGCGCAAAACAAAACACTGCGTACAACGGAGTGTACTGAAAATCAGAGTTGATTGACTTCTACGTAATGTTTTCGAACTCACTTCTTGTTTCTTGATTGGGAATTTGATGAATAGATCCTGATAAAACTGTATTTATTCATGGAATTGAATCAAAGAGAGATTAATTAAACAAGGTCAGGTTCAATTGTGCTTCCTCTTAATCGCTATAATCTGTAAAACAGGTTCTTGTTGTGGTTAATCAAGGATGACTTTGCTTGTCCAACTATTTTAAAAGCCTCTGTGGTTCATCTGGCAACTCCTAATTTCACTCTTTTCAAAGGTTATTTAAAGTTGCGTTTATTCAAATAAATTGTCTAACATTTGGTGTTTGTTCTGCATCTTCAAAATATGGCGATGACATGAGGCGATGACATGTTTTCACAACAGCATCACAATATTGTCACAATAATTTAGTTGAGACTAATTTGATCAGCCATTGATGAGTGGCAGGCCTCAGCCTCAGACTTACCAAACCCACACAAAGACAACAATGCCAAAGACGTGAGACTGCTCTACAGGCAAGTGCCTTGCAGTTTCATTGTTCTGTTGTCTCACAGCGCGTCCATGTCTGCGTGAGAGCCCATTGGTCCAACGGCGTGCCCGTCTTTACCGCATGAAGACGTCCCGCCTCCATCCTCCTGTGGCTCTGCTCTGTTCGTCTTCGTATTCTATCTGGGCGCAGTAATGAGAGTACTGAGGATTTACCCAGAAACCGCTTTGCTCTCATCTGTGTGTCTGCCCGAGTTTGTGCATGTGTGTGTGTGTGTGTGTGTGTGTCAAAGCAGTGGAGCTGGCTGATTATAGGTAAAATGAACAAAAATAAGACATTTCCTCTTCCATTCGCGTTTGGTTTTCATTCCTACGTACTGTATATATTGATGTATATGTGTGTGTACTGCTCAGTGTTGGGTTATGCAATCATGTCAACACTTTGGGAAGCACACAAATCAGAGTTACGTCACATATAAGTAAATGTGCGCACACACACACACTTTGAGAAAAAAGAATGCACACATCAGCAGATCCATGCACGTGCATATGTACAACACATGCAGAAAGATAATAAGTGTGTGTGGGGGGAGAGACTGAACAACAGAGAGAAGACAGAGGGACGGAGGTTCGGGGGGGCAGTTGAGGACCAACTCACGCAAGCAGGAGAGGAGGAGAGGAAGTATCAGGATGAAAAGAGGTAAAAGACGCCCAACGAGTGGAAGGGTGGGGAAGAAGACATATGTTCACGCCATGTCCGGAAGGGGGAGGAAGTGGAGGGTAAGAGAGTGAGGAAGAGGGGAGCGAAAGGGAAAGTGGGCGCGATGACACCAACACGTATAAAAAAAGACAAGGGAAGGAGGGCAGGCATACAAAGACAGCATACCAGCTGTGGAGTGAAAATGGGGAGTGGGGGGGGGGGTGTTGAGGAGAGAGAAGGAGGGAGAAATAGAGAGGAGGAGTGCAGCGCTGCTGCAAGTCAGACACAGCACATACCCCTAACACATTTATGGCTATTATTAGACAGAGAGGTAGAACAATGGGAGCTTGAGGGAGGAAGGAGGGAGGAGGGAGGGGAGAAGAAGGGAAGGAGGGGGTTGGGGGGGGGGGGGGGGTTGTACCACTAGTATAAAGCTTGACGATGAGGATAAATGCATGAATGCCTGTACACATGCAAACGTCTATTGCACGAGGGGCAATATTAGAAAGAGGAAATGTTAAAACGCTAAAGGAAAACTTTAGGTTTCGCGAGAAACAAGCAAACCGGACGAGTGGAAAGATGTGTTGCTCTGGAGCACGTCAATGCCATTTTGGATTTGTCATGTGTTCCTCACTTCTCTTCCACCGCATCCTTCAGTCCCACTCAGCTAGAGACTCCACAGCCGGCTGCTACTGCCGCCCCCAGTCTGTGTGTGTGTGTGTGTGTGTGTTTGTTTGCTAAAAGTAAAGCTTTACATCCAACCCTCTCCTCTGCCTCCATCGCCTCCCTTCTTCCAGGGATCGACTGCTGCTCTTTGACCCAATGCTTTGAACGCATTTGGAGGTTCAGAGTAAATAATTATGAATGCATCGATGCAACAAACCTGAATGTAACCTGTAAACCACTTTGACTGTCTTTACAAAATGGCATTCAGGACCCATTTTTTGTCACCGAAGTTCAAAGTCCGCCTCTGGAAATAGAAGAACATTTTCCCAAAACCCAGATGCTCTGCTGAACATTCGCCAAAACCGCCATTTTTTTTCAATTGAAAGTACGCCCTTCGATATCTGACTACCGTTATGGATCCAAGCCTTTAAAACCGGCTTCACTTTAACAATTATAAGTAAGAATCCGCAGCTCAACTTTTCCAAATGTCTTTTAATCCTTTTTGTCTTTTAGGTCTTTCTGAGAAATCAAGAGCTGCAGCCTTGATGTGCAACTTGAATGATTTTTCTTGTTTTTGCCCAAGTTTTGATTTCAACCGAGTCTGAGGGGTCTCGCTAGGAACCCCGGAGCAACGGCGCCTTCAAGTGGTCAAAGCTGGTAAAGACATTGGAACCATCATCCTGCCATCATGACCAGAGTCTTTCCAACTAGAAACCTCACACTTCAATGAACAGAGTGTACATGACTGGCGAAATGGAGCATAATATATATGTATATATTATTGTATGTTTCCTTAAGTTTATAATCACTTAAAAATACTAAATTAGTTTACGTGACCTTAAAATTAGGCGTTGGTATCTACATACGGAGCTGGTTGCAAACTAGACCGTTGAATGCTTGTTCCAACATACATGTGATTCAACTTTTTACAAGAGGGAACCACAAGTTACCCCTCAATGGTCCAACCGCCATCACATCATGGATAGATGTGACTGTTGTAGCGCAGAGGGTGTTTCCAAAGATATGCGCACTTCAAAGTTTGTGCGAAGTTGTTTCTAATTACACGGTTTGAATGTCAAAGTGAGTCGCTCGATATTAAAGAAGAGCCTCACTGCTGCTTTTAACCCAACGTACCGGTAAGTGAAATTCATTGAATTGGAATGATTCGTTCCAACAAACCACTTAGTATGAATGCCACATAGTACATACAAAGTATGAAATAAAATTAATTTGCAGATGAATCAGAGACATAGTTGACTTGTAGAAACCCCCAATCAAAAGGCATACGTGAACTCATTTAAGCCGCTGGTGCAACTGAGGGCTGAACGCACATCAACCCAATTAGAATCTGTCTGTGGGGGTATTTTTTTAGTATAAAAATACCACTCTAAACATTAAGACTCATAAAAGTCTTTGCTTTGATATCCTAATGTCGGATATTTGACATTCACTCAAGATTAGATTTGACTGATCCGCACCACAAAATGCAATGGATTTACACATCCTTAAAGCATCTAATCCTCCTGCCTCTTTGAGAAATGACTCCAGGATCTGTGAATATGCAAATGTTTTCCATTTCTAACTTTCAAAATGCAAGATGCCTTGACGTGAGATGCCCCCGCTCAGGGTGTGATGTCGTGTGGAAGTTTCATACAAACACTTCTCCGAAAAAAAAGAAAAAAACAGACCTCCAATGTGCTTGTTATGCGCATACACAACAAGTCGAGGGGCTTTAAAGCTCACACCAAGGCTGCACTCGCATTTGTCGAATTCGCTCTGGAAGGTTCCTTACTGAGTGAAATCACCCGGAAGTCTTGTAAATGGGCGCCACAATAATCTCTAGGGTTAAGGAAAGGAGCTTCAATGCTTCCTTACTTAGCTCCTTTAGCATTGGAACCACTGGACCATCCGTTACGAAAGGAAAAGAGACAATTACGTCCCACAATTGTGACGTATCAGAGAAATAACAATCACGAACGAGAAACGCAGCGTTAGATCATGTGAGTAACCGTTAGCATAACTCATTTATGTTGCTACTTTAATAAAGAAATACTTTGAACCTGGTGGTTTATGTCGTCTGCATGACTCAGCACGGTACCAACACACAAAGATGTTCTTCTTTGTAGTCCATCTTTGGAGAAATGGTAGTCTCGTCTCCCGTAGCATCACCACTACGTAGCATAGTGAAAGTGGACACCGCGGTTGTCTTTTCCTAACTCCTCATGAATTCTCCTAACCATCTTTCCTTGACCCCGTGACGTTTACCACAGAGGTCAAGGAACAGTGCTTAGGAATAGACAGTCAGGAGGTCATTTTTGACAATCCGAATCCGGCCCGCTTCTTTTGGGGCCGAAGGGAGGGACCTCGCAGAAACAGCAGCGATTGCGAAGGCTCTGCTGCCCTCTAGTGTCCAACAGCCTGCAATGCAAACACCTCTCCCTGCAGAGCATTTGACCTACAGAGGATATAAAGTCAAAGACCTGTCACGTGTGACGAGCATCACTCTCAGTGCTCACCCCCTAACTTCAATCGGTGGTTCATCGTCCAACAATGTCTCTAAACGGCCCCGTGGGATTTCTTGAAATGTTCTAACATCTGATTTTGCACATATCCGAGTCGACGTTCGCTTTTTCACAACTATTTTGTTGTCAATCCCTAAAGCATGCAAACACTAATGCGTAGCAACAAGAGCTGGGGTGTACAACGCGAGGGGTAAACAGATGCTGCTTTGAACTCCTCTCCCCCCTGAATTGCTGCTCTGAGCCCTGCGCACAATTCTATGGAGATCATCAAAGAGGGCGAACAAAGAGAGAAGCGTGAGGAGACACGACGCAACTCAAATCAGTTTCACGCCACCAAAGGTTCTCCGTAAACTATCATGTACTGCACAAAGTGAATACATGTATCCCTTTTTGAAATAGCACAGCCTGTGAAAGGCACAATGTAATACGCTTCATGAATATTGGATGTGCAGTACTTGGTTGACAGCATGTGAGAAATCCACACAAACACAAGCAGAATGTGAAGGCACACTACAATATGGGAATATTTAAAGTCACATTAGAAATTAGATCAACAAATCTAAAGTATGGGAAGGTCACTGCACTGTTACTAAAATTACATGATTATGTAATTTACAGGGTGAACTAGTGATCATGATGTATTTAATGCATTATTACTTGTTGATACCGTTTCCCATCGCTGAACTTATTTTTCATACAGTCATGAACCATATCTGCAATGATAAAAAGGCATTGTTCTATAAGCATATATAAGCTTGTTATGACCACATTTGTAACAGTCTTTCATAAATATATATATATATATATATATATGTATATATATATATATATATATGTATATATATATATATATATATATGTATATATATATATATATATATATATATATATGCAAACCACCTGCTCCCTCTGGAAACAAATATGTCACACACATGGAATGGAAACCAAGAGCTGAAGAGAAATGCAAAATAGTATTCTGTATATGTATATATTAAGTACAGTAATGACATCACTGTTTGAAAACAAAAATCCCACAAGACCAAACCCTGATATACCAAGCAGATTGACTTTATTGTGTGTCTGTTAATTCATTCTCACCAAAATCACCTGACCGCATCCAGTGGACAGCGTTATTGCCACCAGCTCCATTAGCTTCAGCGTCAAATGAAATAAATTACACTGTCTTAAATAGCCCAGCGACAACAGCTATAATCTGGTGTGATATTGACAGTGTCGTTTTCCAGTTACACATGAATTAGCTCAGACATTTTGCTGGAACGGAAGGCCCCGCTTCCGAGTGTAAGACAACGCCGCGTTGCGTGTGCACATTATTGTTTGAACTCCATAGAGGCTGCATGTACATTACAACTACACCGTGGTAACAGCTCACACGTGATCCAGCGGCATTCAATATTTAGCAGGGGGGGGGGGGGAGCTTCCGGAAGCGCCGCGTGAGGTGATTAATCACTGGAGGGGTTTGACCATGACTGTAGGTTTTGAAAAAATATATATTATTTGTCTAATGGAGATCCTCAACAATGGAGGTGACACGGCACGTATTTAAGGTGTTAATTGATTGGTTGCATCCCGAACACTAACCACTAATGTGACGCTCAATCATCCAATCAGTCCTGACCCAGACAGTGAACATCGGAAAGGGCAAATCATACCGACACGAATGGATTGGCTTCGACTCAGAAGAGCTCCTACTGACGCCGTATAGGAAGATGCAATTCTCAGCCTTTGCTACCTGATATCGGATCTTATCTGAGCATCCCAAACTGGAAAAACACGGCAGGAAAACCACGTGATTTCACGTCAAACAGACACTAAACCACGTTTTTTTTTTTTACAGTGTTGACAAACTCGGTATGAAAACAGTAACAGTATTGACAACAATACATCGGTCGTAATTGCTATAAGCATTTTATAAGATAGTCAGGTGATGATGTCGATACAAATGTGGGAAACGAGAGCAGAGCTACGTGTTCAATAAAGACATAGAAGCTGCCTGCGGGCACAATAGGACAGATGGGTATTTTAGAGTGGCCTTTTTTTCTCTCTCAAAATAGCAAATGTTGATCACAAACCAAACGCCGTTTTCTTTATCAATTTGCGGTTCGGGTCACACAGCCGGATAATGAGTCTCTATCAAACAGTGCTGCCATTTTAACGTCAGAAGCTCCCGTTGCTCCTGGTTATAAGATCGGAAAGCTGCTCAGCAACATCTACAAGTGCGGCCACCAAGCAGGAGTAAAGGGCGAATATTGCTTTGCAAAGACATTCAGTCACAGTCAAAGGGAAATCATCTTGATCAGTGACGACAGATGCACAATCACATAGAACCGCACGGCTCGCTGGGGGGTCTGCAGCACCTCGGCCCAGGCCTCCGTCGGTGATGTCATCGCCGACCGGCTGTGTGCAGATGTGGAACGGGCCGGTTTCCTTCACTGTTTAGCAGCACTGTTTAGCACTGCTTTTGCTGCACTGTTTTAATCCCCCTCCTCCTCCAGCACACAGATCACATGATCGTAGTACGGACCACTTGTCCCAGCTGCCGTCGTCTATGTGCATGTGTGTAAGCTCAGGCATTTTTTTTTTTTTTTTATAGCTTTGGCATGATTGACGTTATGTGTGAAAGACAGCTTGTGTTGACAGGAATGCAGCGCAAAACTGAAATCCTGAGCAGAAAAGTTGGCAATGTCGGACACAAAGGCAACGTAACAGGAATGCTCCATGCTTTCAGTGTGTGTGTGTGTGCGTGTGCGTGTGTTAAGACTGTATGCTAGGGGCTACTATGGGCATTGGATTAATGTCTAGTCTAATATAAACTGTTATAATGGCTGAGCATGCAAGCGCGCATGAGTGTTTGTGTAAGACATCATGAGCACAAAGTTCCCTTGGCGGCTGAGGACACACCTTTGACACACTCCGAGATAATAAAACACAGTGTTAAATATCTATTGACGTCACATATGAGCAAGATTAGCCTCTGCTTGAAATAAATAAATAATAATAATAAACTAATAAGTCAAACTGGGTTCATCACATTTTTCAAGCTTACAAAACCATTTGAATTTTAGACGTTACTTAAACAAACTGAAATAGTGTTTACTCAAGTATGCAGATGATGTAAAAGTAGCAAATAACAAATTGAAGTTCAGACATGTAAAAGCAATCACATTTCAAATTGGAGCTCACTACACGTGAGTTCAAATCCGAGCTGCAGACTGGCGATAAGAGCAAAGAAAGAACATACAAAAGAAGATACAATACAAACAAACAGCGATTAAAAATGTGTGAAAGCGGCACGACCGAATGAACTGTGGCCGGTGCTTCGTTTTGTGAAGGAGACGTCAACGGAGACAACTTTATCCACGAGTCTGAGATAATGACAAATAGCTGTAAAAAATAATTGTCTTTTCAATGTCACATTTTCTTCCCTTTTCTTTGCCGGATCCAGTTCCCCCGTCGCATAGAAACACTTGTCCTTGTTGCTTTTATCTCCTCCGTCAGCTTCCTTCTATTAAACACTTCCTTAAGCTGGTCGCCCAAAGATAGTCACGATCCATGAGTCTGTGCGTGTGTGTGCACGTGTGTCCCGTGCACCAAACCCCCCCGCCGCCCCCCCTGGCTGAATCCGGGCTGGATGACGTCGTTCCATTATCCACATCTGTGTGTTCCTTCGTCAACATGTGGATCTCCTCTCCGTCCTTTGCTTTTAAGGATGCTCTTCGCGGGAGAGACATTTCCCTCCGACCACATTCGGTGAGTGTGCTTTTTTCCCCCCGGTGTGGTGTCCGGGGCGGAGCGGATGGAGATGGAGGAGGAGGGAGGAGGCCCGGAGTAGACGGCCGCCTGCTGTTAACTGTGCTTCGTGAAATATAAATACGCACTGACGCTTGAGTCGTCGATGTCTCACCCTCCACCAAAAACATCCCCCGAGGACTCTGGCCTCTACATGTGTTTAAATCTACATTTAGGCTGTCTGATCATTTTTGCCACACGGACACTGATTTATCTTGCGTGTGCGTGTGTGTGTGGTTTTGCTTTTTTCCATTAGGAGGGTAGCTCAACTTCCCATGCAGTCCCACATTATGGACGTAAATGAGATAGAGGTGGTTTTATTTCATGCCTAAACACATCCAGTATTGTGATATATATAGTTTATTGATACTTTTTTTTCTTTGCATTGTGCAAGCCTATCTTTGGGTACAAACGTTTACAACTAGAGCACACGGACTACACGGGCATAACTGGAGGAAATTAGCTCAACTCATGACTACTTTGTGTGAAAATCGCAATCTTTAAATAAGGCATGTCACGTCTACGCGTCTAATCGGATTCACGGTCTCTTTCACTCGGTGTCTCTGACAACATTCGGCATAGCGAGGTGGTCATAAAACACACTTTATATGGGATTAACACAACGTGGCCCTGGAGGAGAAACCTCCGGCCAGAGGAGATGCGCTTCGGGGAATGAGCGGAGGTGAAATCGGATCCGAGTAGCAGAGAGAGGCGTATCGCATAACCGCCACTTAAAAAAAATACATATGAAAGGAAAAGGGGAGGAGTGGGAGAAAAGAGGGAGAAGTTAACGAGGGATGCCGACAATCTATTTCTGTTCCACCCCCCTCCCACTTCTAAACACACAAAGTGCACGTTGCAAAGATGTTGAGTCCAACGAGTAGCGCTTTGAAAATAATAAAACGAGGTGCCGCTCAGAATTACACCTGTGCTCCGGGTAGAGGGACGTGAGAGAGGGGGGAGAAGAACAGAAGAGGTGAGCAAATGGAGGAGGGGGGGGGCGGGAGCAGAGAGGAAGAGGAAGCCTTCATCTGAGCCTTTTTTTCTATCAACCCCGTACCAGTAACGGATGAAGAGAGTGGTGTGGAAGCTAATGGTGGGAATGGAGGGGAAGGAAGGAAATCAATGGATACCCTTTTTGGTTCCACCGTCGCGGTTGCTGGTTAAACGCCGGGAAGGTGGCTCTTTGACGCCGTGAGACAACACGCGTCACTGGGACCTGTGGGGAACTATCTGAAATGTTTCTTGCCTGATTAGATTCAGGGTCAGGGTTACTGCTCACAGTCTTATGGTCGTCGTCTCCTCCTCTTGAGTTCATCATTTTATCAACTGTTTTGTTTTCTACATAAATTATCGGTCGAATGGAGTTTATTCCGGTGCGTCATGGTCTGTTTTGTGTTTCTGTGCTGTGCTCCGATATTCTTGGACTTTGTCTGTGTTTGACATTCACCTTGCCAAAAGCACGTCTTTGTGTGCATTGCTCTACTTCCCTACATTGCCTTTTGGAACCCTTTGTGATCCGATCTGTAAAATCGGGAAACTCTCCCTTCGTCTTTTTAACGTGTCATATTTTTTGTCCTCAATTTAGATTTTTGTCAAAACCAGAGCTGAAAAACCAGCATCCTCTGCTTCCAACTCGGTTTCTTTCTATAAAAAACCCCCAAAACACTACCACTCCGCTTGTTTGGACTCTCCACTGCTCCCCAGTCTGCTATCTTTAGACTTGTTACTGCTCGCTCGCTCGCTCCTGCTCTTGCATAGATAAATCTGGAAATAGACATTCCCGGTGTCTCCATCTCCGTTCCTCCTCAGCATCCGATCGGTCCCCTTTGTCTTTCTCACTGTCTCTGTGTACCGACGTCTAGTTTTGAGGATTTTTATGGACTCGGATCTGTTCGTTGGGGCTTTTTGACAGTATTCACTCCCGTCCTCAGAGCTCTTTTTGTGCCTTTTGCCCTGACTGACTCCCTTTTCTTCTTCCCGCGGCTGGTTGGGCCGTCGAGCAACTGCTTCCCTTTCAACCTGAATCTCCTCTCATCTCATTCGCTCTCCCGTTTCATCCCGGCGCCGCTGATCTCGTCACATGTCGTCTCCGGCGTGGCAGCTCTCCTCTCCGTGTATGATGAGGACGGGGAAGAAGAACGCGTCTTGGTAAGACGGCGGACGCTCCCTCCCTGCGCCGTCGGCCTCCCTCACCTCGCCGCCCCCTCCGCCGCCTTGCTCTGCTTCTTCATCCCTCTCTCGGCCTCCTCTTCCCTGTTCCCGTCTCCTTACCTCCTCCTCCTCCTGCTGCTGCTGCTGCTGCTGCTGCTCCTCCTCTTCTTCATCATCATCGCCTTCTCCCTCGAGCACTCCCCTTGTCTCCTCGTTGTCCTGTCTCGAGCCCAAACCGAGAAATCCTCCTCCGCCACCGCCCCCTCCTCCTCCCCCGGCACCTCCATCTTCCCTACTCCCTCCCAGCCCCCCTGCCATGCTTCTTGAATGAAACAGGCTGTTCTGGCGCCCTCCTCCAAGTCTACCGAGAGAGAAGCCACTGCGACTGAGCACCAGCCTTCCCCCGATGGCCCCCCCTCCTTGTCCCGCTGCCCTGATTCCTGCCACGGTAGCGTTCAGGAGGGCCGTGGTTCCCATGGGGGCCCGTAGCCTGGAGGGAAGACTGGAGCTCGACGTGGTCCTCCGGCATCGGGGGCAGCTCTGGAGGAGGTACGCCGAGTTGAACACAACGGGCAGGGCGAGAGGGGGCGGGTTGTTCCCCTGGCTGGGGGTGGAGCTTATCGGCCCGGAGATGGGCGTGGAGGCGGTGGGGTTCGTGCCCCCACTCACGTCCAGGTCCATGAGGAGGGCCTCGGAGTAGCTCGGGACCATCTGCTGGTTGCAGCGAATGTGCCACTCCAGCTCGGTCATGTCCACCGTGTTGACCCGGGAGATGGCCCTGTAACTGGTCCCGCTCAGGCCCAGTCCTGGGTGGGTTCCATTCTCAGTCCCTCGCTCAACGCCTTCCCCCCTGACCCCGCCACCTGGCCCTCCTCCTCCCCCTCCTCCTCCTCCTCCTCCGCCGCCGCCGCCGTCCTCGTCCTCCCCGAACAGCTTCTCCACGTGGTAGTGTACGTACGCCGTGCGGTGTTCCGAGACCACCCGCAGCGGCCACGACAGGAGGAAGGCAGAAGCCAGCCAGAACACCCTGTGGCGGGAGAACCAGGGCTGGTGAGCGGGGTCCGGGAACGCCAGGATGTGTTCACGGAAGTCCACGTTCTTCAGGTGCATCCCCTCCCTGGCCTCCATGTAGTCGTCGAGTCCCTCGTTCTCCCCGAAGAAGCGCGCTCGCTTGGAATAACAAGAAGACGATTAAAACAATAAATTAGCAGATAACAGCTTGTAATCTGGACACTTGGTCCAGGTTTGGCACCTGTCCTCATTTCTTCCTGTTCATAGATAAACGGTTATATTGATTCAACTGATAGAAGAAAATAACACGGCCCCTTTCAGTTCTATCACATCTTACCTGGGTGAGGTAAGCAGCTTCCGCGCGTGCACTTGAGAAGCTAAAGAGTGACAAAAATGAAAAATGTTACGAACACGCCGTCCGTCTTTTGACCGGTGGTGGTTAGTGGGCGGAGTCTAACCTGAAACACTTGGTGAAACGGAGGCGAACGGCAGGGTGCCGTTTCAGGTCCAGCAGCTCCTTCGACACGTCTTTGACGCCGTAGCGACCGTAGTCAAACTCCGAACTGGAGGCGTGGGTGTTCACCCGCTCGTGGTAGACCTGGGGAGGAAAGACGGAGCAGGGCGGCGGAGGGGAAATGGGAGAGGAGGGAGGAGAGCAGACGGGACGTGAGAGAAAGAAAGAACTGCTTCGTCATAAATAAAGCATGGTAACTTCATGGAACGATAGTTGTCTTACTGCGCACAGCCCTTCGATATTAGAAGTGAAGATATTATTATTATTTTAAAGGCATTTTGCAGTGGAACTAGGAACAACACGGGAAGGGACAACGGGACAACAAGGGAAACGGCTAAACGTGACAGAGAGTGTATCTGCGTGTCCGTCTAGGACAGTCGCCCCCACCTGTGTGGTGGTGTATGCGTCTCCGTTGCGGTATCTCGTCACTTGTCTGGTCCTCCTCACGTAGTGATAGCTGATGGCCTTCCACCAAATGCAGGGCGTGGCCTGCTGAAGCCTCTGCACACGCTCGTACACTTCCTGTGTCAAAGAACGAAAGGAACGATAAAACACAATTTTCGGATAGAAATTTAATTCTCTGGTCATTTCTGTAAAGACCTTTAAAAAAACCCAGTTACAATATAAAGATGCAACATTGCTTGAGTTCTGGCAAATAGTGGTACAAGCAGAACAATCATGTTCCTATTGTTTGCAAACAGCGTAGTTAAGTGTGAGCAATCTGGTGCAAGTCAGACCCTGCCAGCGTTTGTTTCACATATGTGCCCCCGACAGTCTGGACTAACGTCAAACTCACATATTTGGTTTTTGGCAGTGGCCCATAGCAAAGACAAAAAGTAACCACTGTGCATTTGGAGCAATGCGCCCCTGGACTTCCTGATAACAAACACAGCAGCCAAGAACAGACGGATGCCTGCAGGTCAGCTCATTTCTAAACCAGTGTTAAAGTGTTATTTCAGGAAAGTTGAAAAGCAAAAAATATCTGATTAAACTGCGGGAAACATTTTGTGTCTGCAACAGTTGCTGTGCAGATTTAATGCATCACAATCATTTCATTCACTGAACCGCTACATTTAAAAGCATTTTGCTGACTCCGTCATTCTGAACGAGTTTCCATGAGTAACCAGATTCTCCTGTTTAGCTCAAGGTCACGGAGCTATTTCCAGACTCCTGCTGGCAGCAGCAGACTCCACAGTCTGTTGGACGAAGGCATTCTTTCACGATGCCAGACCCCCCCCCCCCTCCTTTGCAACACAACGCGGTTTTCACCTGGAATTCAGCATGTGCCAACATTGCCGTCTTGGAGAAGCAGTGCCAGCACTCCACCAGGTACACCACGTACAGCATCGCCAGGAAGGCCAGGGGGATGTAGACGTAGCCGCTGGAGCACGGGCTCTCCAGGTGGAGGATGTCGTTGTAGTAGGCCGCTGAGGTGGCGTCGGCGGCGGCGCCGAGAGGCACGGAGGAGGAGGAGGAGGAGCCGAGGACGGGTACGCGACAGAGAGCGCACCAGGCGAGCGTGGCGAAGCAGCCGTACATGAGGAGGGTCAGGAGGAGGCACTTCCAATGGGACTCCCGACACAGGGAGGAGGCCAGAGACTGCTGGACCGGCCGTTGCTGTGGAAACAGACAGAGGAGGAAGGAATGGAGGTTAGGATGCTACCGACCCGCACGCTGAGGAAAGCCATTCATAAATGTACACTGTTGGGTGGATGGCTGGAAGATCACCCCCCTGGTATTTTGTTGTGGTGATTCTGCCTGAAGCGTTGGCTTTTATTGAAATGTCTGAACATGACATTTGGTACAGACGACCACATGCCTCTCAGGATGACGTCCCGATGACTTGGAATCAAAATATATATTTGGTAATTTGGTTTCACATTGAATACCCTGCAAAGCTAATGGACAGTCCCATCGTCCAACTGCTCACTGATTGGCTAACTATGCGCTAAGGCGGTGAACCTGCATAATACGATCATGGTAACATTGTCATTATGAGCACATTAGCATGCGCATGGTGACGTGGAGATATCGCAAAGGTACAACCTCAGAGCAGCGAGCGTGGCAGCGGACTCTATTAAGTGCGATAGCAACAACTCTAATCAGTTAGCCTTTATTTTATGTGTCGGGCTAAATCCAACGTCCAATTATTGTTTTGTCTTAAGCTCCATTTTTAAATGCAATGTATAGTCACTTCTTACTAATTGGGTTGTATCCTAAAGCTGAGAGAGAGATCTGAACATCCAGTCTGGGCTTTTGCCACCAGATTTGAGGCATTTCTACATTCTCACGCTGAAGGTGAAGACATTAATAAATGCAGTTTGCTTCACAGTGTTCAAATTTAATAACGTCTGACAGGTGAAATCGATTACAGCTACGGTGGTAATAGAATGTTTGTCAACCCCCCCCCCCCCGTCTCCCAGTGAGTTTTTAATAATCATAATCTTCCCGTTTGGTAAACAGTGATGTATTTCAGTGAGTAAGCTAAGTTCTCTTGAACTAACGAGTGCATTAATGCTCACACATCAAAGGATAAGTGCTGCATATTACACACACACACACACACACACACACTCGATGCCTCCCTCTAAGTGCACACTTTGACACAGCCTCATTTGCGCCGTGATCACATCATGTTACAGTGCACTCAAACATTCACACAGGTATCAGACACACGGGCGGGGAGACGGTCTAATGTGCCCCTCTTCTTCTCTCTGCGGCGCACACGCAATCACGCACATTCTCAGCATTGAGATGCGGCCAGCGGAGGGTGTGTGAATAATTTAGATAGGAACGATACTTCCAGACTCTCCAGCTAACCGACTCCACTCCAACACGGCTGCTTCGGTCCGTGTGTGTGTGTGTGTGTGTGCGTGCGTGAGAATGAGGGAGGGAGAGCATCAAGGGGCTGAGCCAAAAGACAAAAAAAGCTTGTGTTTTATGTATGTTGTGTATCATACGAGCAGAAGCCACGATGTATCTTTGTATGTGCGCTTCGTCGCTTTTGACGGTGTCCGTACTTGCAGCTGTTCTCTCCGTGCCGTCGCTGAATGCGACTAGGAAGAGGAGCAACAAAGCAGATGACAAAAAAAAGATGGGATGACACCAGTGTCCTTTTCTCCTGTCGGGCCAACTATGCCTGTCCTGTCAGCACGTACCCCCCCCCCCGTCTCCACCTCACCCCACCAATGCAGCTGTAATTTGCTGTCCAGTAGCATATTTGGCTGCGACACATAGTTTTCCTCCACTGTACCTCAAGGGCAAGCAGTGAAAGGCAGCGTGAAGGGAGCCCCCCTCCTCCCAGACCCCCCCAGCTTTATCTCCTTCCCTTGCGTAATCTTATTTATCCTTGCCGGAATCTTTCCTCAGCGTTCAGTCTTCCGTCCCAACCTCACCGGATCCTTGTCTTTCGTCCTCCTCCTCCTCCTCAGGTCTCCCCCTCTACATCCTCTCTGAGAGTCGGTCTCTGAGTGGATCGATTGGGAGGAAAGAGGAGCGCAGAGAGAGAGAGGGTGTCAGCGGCGTGAGAGACACAGCGAAAAGGTCACAAACGTCTCCTGGAGGTGGGAGGCTAAAGAGAAGGCCGCAGTGACAGACGGCACCGCTCCAAAGTTTATCCGTCTCATTTTGTTTCTCCCCTATTCCTTACTTTATATTTTGCGTAAATGTTGCTAAAAGAAGAGAGCTAGATTTTCTAGCAAAAATAAAAAATAAAAAAAAACAACGGGAGCGTACTCAGCGAGAGGAAAGGCAGCACGTAGACTAGTCAGATTATTCCTGTATGCACTCTCTCTCTCTCTAAGAGAGTAGTCAAGTCCAGGTTAATAGTTTTTTGTATGTGTACTTGGCCCATCGTCTACTCCAAATAATGTGTGGGTTGGTATGACCCAAATAGGTGTAATATTACATTTTCACATTACAGGTCATTTAGCTGACGCTTTAATCCAAAGCCACTTACATTGCTTTTTCAACCCATGGAATTTTTTACATTTTTGCCTGGGGAGCAATGAGGGGTAACAAGTTTCACACCCGATAACAACGCACACATACAGCAGAACCAAAGTAAACAGCAGGCCGAGACATTTTGTACCAGGGACTGAATGTCGATCCCATAAATGACCAACATACAACCCCCCTCCATGTCCTTTACACGTAAAACTATGCTAAACATACAACCTGTATACGTCACGCCCAGCCACTCGTTGGACAGCAAGGACAGAATTATTCTTTACTGCGGGAAGGCCCGGCGGGCGAGATGTGAGGTGTGGGAGAGGAACATCCAGGTGAACGTTCGGGACACATTTTAAAAGGCGTCTCCAATGTGTTCCCGAGGCCTGACGGACGCGCAATGGTCGTGACCTTTGCTCCCTAAAATCGCGCCAGTTCGATCTTGAGACCGAGCAGTTGAAAGGAGTTCCTCGCAGCGTTCTCGGGACGTCCCGCTCACGAGGAAAGGCCGGACGGACGTCCCTTCAAATGCCTCTCCGTCTTGGGAACTGTCTCTGGTCAAGGTCACGCGGTAGCGTCCGGCGCTCGTGTGGCCGGATAAGTTCCTCCCGAGGGGAACTCGACGCCTCCCGGTGCAGAACCCTGCAGCTTTTTGCCCGTGTCACGATGAATCGGGTGTTTCGGCTCCTCAGCTCTTCTGCCGCGCCGCAGCAGATCAAAGGGAAAGCTCACTCTCCCTGGAATCATTATGAACAGAAATCCATACAGCCTCGTCGGCTTCCATTTTTTCATCCTTGAAGTTCGCCCCGACCTTCTCGCGAAGCTCTTTGCGAAGTGGGCGGAGACACGGCGGCATTTAACGTGACAAATTCTTCACTGACAACTCAACCTCGGTGCCCACGTTTGCATGATTTAGCATCCACAGTCAGCGACGAAGCCATCTGAAGAAGAGGACCCGCGACCACTGGGTTGGGTTGTTTGGACCTTTGCTTTCTGAGAAGCACTTTCCGTGCTCGCTGCAGTCATTTGCTGCCTCGATTGAAACTGCAATGGAGAGAGCTCGGTGATTTACAGGACGAGCTTCGCCCAGTAAATGTCTCTGAATTCAATCATTGTTCTATAATCTGGTCTCGTAGCCCTTCGCTGTAATGCGGCGCTGCCGCTGAACAACTCCACGCCACGTGTTTGGTTACCGGTTACTTCTCTCGGCGTTTCACTCGAAGCGCTTAGATGAAAGAAAAAGGCTCAGGCGGCGTTCGGTCTACAGTGTTAAGATAATCTTTCAGGCCATCCGGGGTTTTTTTTTTGGTGCGTTGACAAAAAATAAATCTGGAGCCTCGTCGAGCAGCTGCTACGGAGCAATCTGTATTCGCCGATACGGATCATCCGCCATTAGGAAATGAGTATCGGCGTCAAACGACAACGTGATAAGGGACCTCTCTCTTTTTGTGCTGGTCCGGTCTGTGGGCTTTATGATCCGTTGCGCTGCTATTTTCTGATAAAATTGAAACAAGACATGTTTTAAAAAAAGGTATTACGGTGTGTATTCCTCCTCCTCCCTGTGTCTCTGCTCGCACTGATTCAGCTGGTTAGGTGTGACGGGGGCAGCTATAATTAGCAACCCTTCCATGTGGGTGGCAGATGAAGTGAGGAGAGGAAACTGTGCTCTGGAGGCCTGAAGAACACCGATAAAAATGCTTTGTCATTTCAACACTCAATTTAGGAAGTCGGGAGTCTACAACCGATGATGTTATCACTCTGTGTGTGTATGGAAAACAAGTCATTACACTCTCACTATGCTAAAAATGTCATTGTGATTTGTTTTGGAGTGTGTTCACTTCAGACTAATTATCCACAAACATCAATTACCGGCATGTGTGATATGTGGGTCATCTCAATGAAATATTTAATGCAGCAGTCAGCCAAGTGGAATAAATTATAAAGAGGTCCACAGAACAACGGTCCCCAACTTAGATATACGACGTTGGATAACGCTTAGAAGATAATAGTGAATGAGGCCCACAGCTTTGACATTGTACGGCAAAAAGGTCTCCGGTAGGTGTATTTCATTTACAAAAACAGGGGGATACCAATGAAAAATAGAAGATATTTAAGAATTACCAGAAAATAAACTATCATCTGTTGGGTAATTACATTTGATTATCTTTGCGTAACTAGTCAGCAGGGATTTACAGCCGTAAACTTGGTTTAGTGTTCACTCGGGATCAGGTGTTTGTGCCTCGAGCAGCCATTCAACACTTTCCCCTGAGGAAACCAGTGGGTTACATAACTCATTTGATTCTTATTTACCGCACAGATTCTCCGTTAGTGACCCGCAGCCTCGTGGCGGGTCGTCCATCGGCATCGCGTTGGACGCCAGTGCGGCTTTTATGTACGGTTATCATTTATTTTTTATTGACGCCTGTCGCCATGCGGGGACAGCCGTCCCCCATGAAGAGTTTCTGTGCGTGTGTGTGTGTGTGCATTCCTTCATTCAGGGTTTGCACCGTTCTTTATTAATAGGATGCTCATTCAAAAAAGGGCCTTTTCTGTCAATGGTTGTCCATTTTTTGGACAGTATGTTCAGGCAGCGTTTTGGACATCTAGCTTTTTGGGATTGTTTTTAGGTCATTTGTGTTTATAATATTTGTATAATAACGGTTTGCTACAAGGTTATAAAGTGTATAGTTGCAATACATTCCCATCAGATTGAGGTTTGGATGTAATTATTACCTCTTCCACCACAGGATGTTTGTCCTTCTTAATCCAATTTTGATCTTGTTCTGTTTTTCAGGCTTCACATCGATGATGGATGTTTCTTTCTTCTCTCTGCCTGTGCACAGTTTGCTATGGAATACCGCATTGCCATTTGTTGAAATTTGCACCGCTTGGTTTTACGCAACAGACCTCTCTGCTCCTGCAGGTATGAATCCAAACTATCGTTTTGATAGTAATCAATGGGCTCTACTTCACGTGCGATGATGCTTGAGTAGGTATACGCGCACAATGGTTGTGACTAAAAAGTGAGACATGAGTGTTTGTGGGAGGCAGAGCCAAACAGACAGAGAGGTGAGGAAGCCGTTTACTCCACGACGAGCAAATCTAAAACAGGAAGGAGACCAAGAGGGCCGGATGAGAGAGAGAGATTAATGGAGGCAGAGAACAGATGACTGAACTCATCGCGTTACAGTGCACCGTCTGCACTGCAGGAATGGGAGGGAGACTAGAGTGGCGGGATGAAGTGGAAGGCATCAGTTAACAGGGTTACAAACTCTACTACATCTTGAAATTACCGGTAACTTACTGCCAAAGGCTTAATTATGGAGGTTTTATCGGCAGCTTCTGGTTAGGCTTCTGTTATATGTTCTAAGGAAAATATTTTTGGACTATAGAGAGAAAAAAAAAGAAATGAGTTTCATGCCATTAGAGCAAGATAGTTGAAACGCATTAGAGATAAAACTAAAATAAAACAAATCAACTCAATGGACAGAGAATTAATGGCTGTCAGAACTAAATGCTCATGTTTCACCGAGTCCACATTTTCAATTAAGAGGCGTTGCTGCTTCATGCAACTCAAGGAAACTGCGATGGATACATTTATTTCTCACCACTTACTGACACAATTTCTTAACCAACGATGGAAATATAAATTGTCTGATAAAACAATGAAAACAGTTTGGGATCTAAATCTCACATTGGGAGGATGAGTATGTGTGGCCGAGTCCCAAGCCAACAGAACAGGCACCTCGAGTGACACACACACACACACACACACACACACACACACACAATGCTGCTTAAAAATAACTTAATTAACTCCCCTGGTAGACATCGTCCTTTCCTCTTTGCAGTATAGCGCCACTATTATACCGTTAGACCGCATGCACACACACACACACACACAACTCTGCAACTTCATCTTGCTCTTCCCATTCTAAAAGGTGACGTGATGGAATACATGATGCTGCATATTGGGAGTAGTGGTAGAGGAAGTGGCGAATTGCTGAGCAGGAGAGGTCATCTGCTCCGGCGTGCGTGAGCGGAGCACGGTGCCGGTGGACCTGAGAGACGCCTCCGAGACAGATACACGGCGTCACACTGCATGCATGAATATTTGAACGAGATGCCATTTCCCTGCATGTGTGAGGAAGGAGATGATGCCCTGTTGAGGGGGGGGGGGTGTTTTGATAGGATAATACCAGGAAAAGCCACTGTTGAGTTGGTATATCCTACTATTATAAATACTGAATCCCTGTGAGGTGAAAACAGATGAGCTGCAATGCACTGCGGGGTTATTTTGTTCCCATTGGGTCAGAAAGGTGTGTGTGTAAACCGTGATGTCACCCTCTACTGTAGTTCAGTGTCAGGTGGTAAACGAGCATCCTCTAGAATACCAAGCCGGTGGTTTCAGCTGGTTGGTCTCCATTCACACGAGAGGACACCGTCCTGCACGGTGTCCTTGCTCTCTGCGAAGCATCAAGGACTTAACGGAGAACAACGTGACAGCGGACGTGTGTGTTTGTCAATGAGGGATAAGTCAAGGGTTGTTTGGGAACTACTCCCTGGCGTAAAATAAAGACATAAAAAGGTAGTGGTTGTGAGGGTAAAATATGCGCAACTTTAACCCAACTGGGCGAAGGAGGCGGGAAGAAAAACAACAAATAGCGAACGTCCTTACCTGCTCTCGTCCTGACCCTTCCTCCAAAATGGGCTCTTGTGCGGTGGCCGTCTCCTCCTCCGTCTGCATTTTCTCCCCCTCTTGGCGCTCCTTCCCTTCCTCAGAAGCGGGCGCAGGCGGCTCCCGCCCCGGTGGCGTCCGAAGGCAGGGACCTCCGCGGCGGAGCAGCGAGCTCCGTCACCCCATCCGCCGCAATCCGGGATCCAGTTTCACGATGGCGGGGCCTGCAGCAAAGGAGCATCGTCTAATCCAGATTTAACGTTACCCCCCTCCTCCTCCTCCTCCCCCGCCTCCCCTCAGCTCCTCCTGTCCCCGATCTCCTCCCGCCGACCCGCTCAGTGTTGCTCCTCCGCACGCGCCATCCTTCGCCTCTCCGGTCACGGCGAAAACGTGACTAAGCATCCGAAGTCGAAGCCCGTCGCCCTCCCCGTCCGGACCGGGTTGCTTTTTTTTCCCTTTCCCGCTGCCGCCGCCTCCCGTGGTGCTCATCTACGAACACGCGTACGTGCACGAGTGCGGCGCGTGGCCGACAGCGCGGCCGCGGAGGTAGACGCTGACGGGCACGCGCTTAACGCGTCTAAGGTTAAACACGAGCAAAACATTTTCCTGGATAATATTCTTTTATTGTTGAAAACTTGTATTTTGGAAAAGGCATACATCTATTTTAATGATTACATATATATTTGTGCAATAACAGAGTTGACGATGGGACGACAGCTTGAATGGTGTGAAATCTGACAGGAGTCTGGTGATGTGGAGCCTGTTGCACACAGAGGGCCGCTGCATTTAAGATCTCCTGAAATGCACACAACAATTTAACAAAAGCTTGCCTCAGGTGCTTCGATCCAAATGAGAGATGTCTACGGGACGAGATACGGACCCTGGTTTGCTGAAGGACCGGTCAGAAGGGCGACAGGTCGTCTGAGCGGCCCGCGGTTCTGACTGGAGACCGTTGACGGAGCCTGGAGCCTTTCTTGTTGTGTGCGCCAACGTGGCCCTTAAGCCATATGTCGTACAAGCTCTCAGGAAGGATGGGTGATATCGTTAAAGAACATCCTCCCTGTACATTCCCATCTGAAGACCTGCAGGCTGGATGCCTCAATTACACATTCACAGTTTCCTTCCTCGGAGGATATTAAATTAGCTCTATTATGTCACCCGGTTGATAATTAATCAATAATTAATTAATACGTTTTGGTATTTATTACAATTTTTTTTGAAAATAAAGCTTGACAAAGAGACAGACCACGTTTTCAGGTTACTATTTTGTAGGTCAATGCAAACCAGCTTAATACCAAGCGATTTGGGTCACATCCCCACAATGTATTATTAGGATTCCTTTCTTCTCTAAACCAATACTAAATATCAAAATATACTGTCAAATTCTTCGAGGGGAAAACCCCCTTTTCGACGATGCTCAAAGGATATTAGCCGTGACGGGCAGGTAAAGGATGTCCGTCTCTGTGCGGATGACGATGTCCTGGGAGATGTTGTTCTTTGGCTCCACCTCTCCTGCTTGGACTGTGCTCATGGCAAACAGCTGAACCTGCAGTTCGACATGCAAACCTGCAGCCACCTAGAGAACCAGACGCGCAGCATGTGTACGTTTTCAACACTAATTATAACTTTTAGTAACTGAACTTGAATATGCAATTCATTATTGCATCCAGACGGGAACTTACAGGCCCGGGTACGTAGAGGACCCGGAGGCCCGTAGCAGGAGGAGGCTGTTTCACATAAAACCTTGCAGGGGGACGGATTGAAAACAAACCACAAATATTCATAGTTAATGGTTTTCCCATTGGACCTGAAGGTGACCCACCTATCCACAGAACACATTTATTTCCGACATGCTAAAGGACATATGAAACGAGATAAAACGCTGCAACTGAAGTGAAACAAGGTTTTCATTATTTCGCCGTTTCAGAGCCTACATTATTAAATGCATTTATTTTTCCACCCGTTCATTCTGATGTCTTACCTGCATGTGTCCACACCCACGTTTTTCATCACCACATTAATGGCAGAAGAGGTTCCCTCCTGCACTGTGCCAAAGTCCACACTGGACGGAAGCAGCTGGAATCCCCTCGCTACGACACTTGGATCCGTCAGAGAAATAGTTCGACACCTCCTCCTCACTGGCTCCTCCACTGCCAGGAACTTCAATAACAACGTGATGTGTGAATGCATGTGTGAACAGGGTGTGTGACAAACAGTGGTAGAGAGAGAGGCGTGTGTACAGGTAGGTATTAGATGTTTGAAAATTGCTCGATAGGGTAGGATATTCAGGGCCTAATGCTGTGCAGAAACACAGTAAAGTCCTTCTTCAAGCATGTGCTGCAGTAGCACATCAGCACCTGTAGGTGTCACTTTGGGGCTTTAATAGTCATAGATAACATAACTTGAACCAACAAACATTTCAACAGTTTACAGAACTAACAGCTTTAGACAGAAATAAACAAATAAAGCGTATGGTGAATGGATCCAAGTGTGTAGATAAAGATTATAACAGTATACCGCACAAAAGTGGACATAACAATCCAACCCTATCCTTTAATGTAATTCAACTAAGTTTCAACATTCACATGAATAACATTTTCAGAAGCGATTTTCCCGAGATATGTTGCAGTAAAATATTATCGAGCAATTCCAGGCCTGGCTACCTGTTGATTTGAGACGCTGCAAGGTTTCGAGCCGAGGATAGAGGTTGGTAGTCTGACTTTAGTCCTCCGGGGCTTTCCAGTCACATCCACCAGGACAGACTTCCATTGCCCAGTTGAACCCCTCCGACTGCTTTCACCTACCACACACACACACACACACACACACACACACACACACACACACACACACACACACACACACACACACACACACACACACACACACACACACACACACACACACACACACACACAAAGACACAGTCATTCATCCTTTCGTGGCTTTGGGAAGTGCTCAGTGGACCTGACCTACATAACAACCAACGTGAGTTGGGAGTTATGTGGAAATCAATGACTGAGAATCACTCACATTTCTTGGGGACAGACACCCCCAAGCGAACCAGAGGAGTAGGTTTTGGAAGTAATGTTTTTTTTTTTTCGGGCCGTGATTTCCAATAAATGGGACGGGTTAATGTCCCTTTCTTGATGATGCTTTAAATAGATTCAAGACTATGCCCTCAATGTCCCTGCGATATTCTGATTACGGAATTAATTTTAATATAAAACAGGAGAAAAAGGTGGGGAACAAACCGGCAGTCTGAGGCGTGGAGTTGGTCGGCCGTTTTTCAAGCATCCTGTCACTTCTTCCTGCATCACTAAGAGCAGAACCCCTGGAGAGGGCAGGGTGTATTTATGAGCAAATGTGATCACTTAGGCAAGCAAATTCAGTAAACAGAAGAGTTTTGATTCAGGGAAAATCAGAGGGGGGGAATAGTTCTCAACATCGTCTTTCTTACCTTGCCGATTGAGATGGTGTTGAGTTTAAGGGCCGTGGGGCTGCAGTTGCAAACACAAATACAGAATATTATACATTAAGCATAATATTGAACCAGCACTTAATGGATGTTATGCACCACTACAGTTGCTATAAAATTCTCTTCCATTTGTCCCGGGTTTCTCTGTACCGATTCCCAACAGGACGGCTCTAAAGTTGAGTTTCTTTTAGCAGCTCCAAGTGGATCTTGATAGAATGAGAACTCACTCTTCTCTGGTGAGGCATCTTTCAGGAAAGTCTCAGTGCTGCAGGACTTTGCAGGGAGATCCATGTCTGAGCTCCTCATGTTGGGCATTCGATGCTGCAGCAGATTCTGGAAAACCAGCAACAGTGATGTGATGATGTTGAATCAATTCAAGAAAATCCAGATGTATAGTGAATTGAAGTGAAACCACACAGTACCTGATATAATTGGATATTTTCTGGCTGGAAAAAAGGAACAACAGTCTTCTTCCTCAGAGCCTCTCTATAAGCCCGTTCTTCACACATCTCATGCCTGAGGCACACAAGCATACAAAAAAATGTCTAGTTGATAGTCCCATCATTTCCCCACTATTGCTCTATATATACCAACACCCTTTCAGTTGTAATGCAGAAGCTGCTGTATTTTCGCTCAAAATGTTTGAAAATGAGAATAACTGCAGAAGATGAAAGCTACCAGCCATTTACACCATTAACTCACACCAATGTGACCAACAAATGTGTGCTGTGACTGCTGGGCGGAGTCACATAGGTGACTAGTAGTTTTTTGGTCAGGATGCGGGAAACACTTCCTTCTCAATATTTTGCACACATGCACGAGTTATCAACTGTACATTTACCTGTACTGTGTAAGCCTTTCGCTCCATTTTGACTCCTTTTCAGCACTTAAACTAAGAGAATAGTTTAGGAGGATATTAGTACATTATTAACTTACTTGAACAGGTAAAACAGTCACTTTAGGGAGCGTTACATGATCTATTCATGCATGGCATTTTAATCTCCGAACCTGTCACTGGATAATGTGGCGGCGTCTTCTGAAACATTGGACTGCTCCATTGGGTCTTTGACTCCTTGGCTGTACAGATCGCCTATGTCCACTGTGGATGCACTCAGAAGGAGTTGGAACATTTTCATTTTTAACTTGAAAGCACCATTATAATCTTCATTCGGTAAAACAAGCAGTCACCCACCTGGAGTCCTCTTGTCAAAGATGTGACTTGCATTCTCTTCTTCTGCAAAAGACTTAAAAATACAGAAAGAATAATACAACGTTCATATTTTGCTATTTCAGTATGCAGTGGGGCAAGCGTTCTGATAACATCCTGTTGTTCGTCGTATCATACCAGTCAAAGTAGGGATCTGGCAATATATCAGTAGTGCTTCATACGGTGTGTGTGTGTGTGTGTGTGTGTGCGCTGACCAGGACCAGATTGAGCAGATTGCTGGCCTGACCACTCTCCTCCTGAGAGCGAGGGTCTTTGACTTCCATCTCCTCTGATAGCTGCTCCCTCACCAGCAGACTCTCAATGTATTCCTGCAATCAACGCCAACTTTCAACATTTGTCGGTCTCCCCCAAAACCTGATGTTACGCTAAAAGCAAAACTACACACCACATTACATCAACAGCACAAATAACACAGCGAGAGGTTTCAGAGCCAACAATCATATTACCACCAAGGTTGAGGCTTTGTTGAATGTCGTGCTGGTGTGAATCTGCTTCAGTATTCATGCCTTATCAAGAAGTAATGTATTCTGACTGTTTCATCACAAATTGGTTCATCAGAGTTGATATTCAGTGCTTCTGAAAGTGTTGTTTCTCCATTAGTTTCTAGCGAGATGGATACTGATCTCAGTATATCATTTGTACCTACTCATTTTAGCAAAACCTTTGACTGCAACGGCACCGAGGGCCGTGACCACAAACCACATGTGTTTGTTTTTACCTTCAGTCGTGTGTCAACGGTGTTTTTGAGCCAGGCGGTGAATGGTCGGTGCTGGTGCAGTTCCCTCATCTCCAGGGCTTCA